TAGTATAAAATATAGATATGGTGAATATAATTATATGGATCATGCATTCATACTATCAAAAGGCAAGATTCAATCTCTTACCAAGTTGTAGACAAGGTACGAGCTTGCTCTTCCATCCAACCAGATGCTCTTCCATCCAACCAGAGATCGCAATATCAAAACTTCTTTCTCTGTCAGAGGTGGCTTTTTCAAGGCATAAAGTGTGTAGTAAATTATGGTAGGTTCTATAGCTTGTGGACGGGAAAATCCTTTATAAAATACCTACTTGATATGTACAGGGTGGGCTGAATTCGGCACTTTCAGAGGAGGAGTCCTGTTCCTGTGCAAGATAGAAAAAAACTGATGTCGGTGCCGTTAATCAATTCACATCACAATCTCGATATCTATCTTTATGTCAGAGTTACAAGGTGTTTTTCGAAAATGTGCATTTTTGAAAAGTGACTAAAACTCTTTTTTTGACAAAAGTTCATCGTTTCCATGAAAACATTTTCAAAGCATCGGGTTTGTCGTGAAAATTGATCCTCAGGCACTGTAATCAGTCACCGTATACCTAGTTGCAAAATAGAACTTTTCCTTCAAGAAGAACAAGTTATATTCTTGAACTTCACGAATATTTTTCATTCAAACATTCATGAATTGTCAATTATGTATTGGTGATATTCCTATTTAGCAATACAAAATCAATTATCTCTGAATGTTCTCTTATGATTTGTGGCTTATTGCATTTGTGTGAAAAGTAATTATATCAATTCACACTAGAGGACATTTGAAGCGGTGAACGTGACAACACGGCGCGCACGATTTGTGGGTGTGGTCTTGTCCCTGCTCAGCATTCAGCACAAGTTTGCCAAGACTCCAACATCTACATGATATTTTGTTATGGGGTATAAGGAATATTTGGACATGCTGTAATCAACTATTACACCATGGGTTCCTTCTATTATGTTTTATTCAACGACAGGTCTCTTATATCATTTTGATAACTTGATTATACTTGGTGACTTGACAACCTTGCTACGTGAGTTGGGAAGGAAGATTATCTGACCAATAACGAAACAGCGTGAAAGCTGGCGCCACTATTCATTCGACGTATCGCCAAATAATGGCCATGAGGGTACCTTCGAAATAAGCTCAGAAACTCAACAATTTTGAACAACGCAAATACTCATTATTTAAATAAAAATCGTGAGAGGTATTGCAAAAATTGATTTAGGTCCCTAATGACACAATGAACCGTTGATTATGATTTTGACACAGAATTCAGAGTGTTTCATTTGGGATAATGGAATTTTAGTTTATTGCTTCAGTCTATATGCTAACACCTCAAACATCGAGGTAACTCTTAGAATAGTAGATTACCCAAAGCTGCTATTCGCTTTAAGAACTATCAAACTGAGTACCAATCTGGAAGTAGCTAAATCAGTCTACTATGCTCACTTTCATGGTATCTCACACTATGGAATCGAATTCAAGGGCACTGCTGTTCAGTCAAGCACCACTTTCATTATTAAAAAGAAAGCCATCCGTTCACTTTTTGGTCTGAGTTCTAGAGATTCATGTCGGGATTACTTCAAAAATCACGAAAAATTCACACTCACCTCTCTTTATATTCATGAAGTATCTCTGTTGACATAAAAACAATTCCAAATTGACCCGCTCTTCGGACAAACATTTTTACGCGATACGCAATCAATCACTCACATCGCCAAACTATAGATATAATAGAACACGAAACGGTCCTCTATATATGGGAATCAATATTTATAATCATCTTCCGGAATGCATCAAGAGTAGTACAGTAAGGAAATTCAAATCTGAGCTGAAGAAAATCCTACACCGCCATGTTTTTTACGACACCACAGAATTCTTCAATAAAAACTTCCTCGCTAATTCATAATATTCTTTAGGTTGAATTACTTGTATCAAATCCACTATTATTATTTTTGTAAGGAATTACTCAAGCTAATAATTATCAATATATTCCATTATAATGAAAGAGACGGCAATCATTTCCCCAAGTCTATATGGCATCTGATAATTTTGTTAATATTCTATTACGACACCTTAGTGCATTGACAATTATTGTAAATGGATATTCGGGAAATACATTTCTTTATATCTATCTTTCTATCTATTAGCCAACGCCTTTGGGGTTCGCGAATATTTCATCCATTAGGCGATTCGCAGAAAACAAAGAGAGACCAGATTAGAAAAAAATACTTTTATTAATACATTTTTGTATTGTTGTGGTTTGAGTCAACTACAAGCTGTATATATCTTGCTTTTTCAACCTATCATTTGCAGTTTCTAGTTTGAAGGATATACATATTTATTTTCAAAAATCCTATACTTTACAAATGCAGTTGTATATATCATTATAAAGGGTGTTTCAAAATTAGACATAAAGAAAAACCAACTAGCGAATATTCCTCAAACACTAGAGACTGAGAAATATCTGCTTACTGATGAGATTACAGAATGATAAGATTCGAGTAATATTGGTACTTATTCTGTCATTTTCAATGCCATTTCAATAGTATAAGGTAGCACCTATATTCACTTCCATATTGAGAATAATGAGATTTTTTGAGGTTGATTCATCGTATTCCAATTTGAATATTTGAAATAAACCGAGGATTAAACGCTAATCGAAATTGAGAATGATTGATATCGAATTGAAACAATGAAAATGAAAATAAATAATAAAATCATTCCACTATCTCACACAGAATTGGAGGTAACTGCATATTGAAGGTGAAATCCAAAATTCCAGATTGAGTTATATTATTGATATATCATTATTAGCAACCATATATCTATTTCTTGTTTCCCATCGTCAATATAGACAATATACGAGTGAATCAGAATCAATTTCGAATAGAACCCATGCAGTTGACGAGTTGGAATTGATTGATTTGAATTTTGTGAGTTTCGTAAGTTAGTTTGATGCGCAGGTAAATAGAGAGGTATAGTTTGTCATTCCATAGTAAAGTGAAGCAGCTTTCACAAAAAACAAATATCGCGCGTTGTCGGCTCGATGGAAGTTGGTTCAAAGTGGAAATTTCTTGCCAAAGAAACTCATGGAAATTTCTTGCCCGAGACGCTACAACTTACTTTGGATAGACTATGCATACATATGTGATAATGTCAAACTAAGATTAACAAGTACATGATGGATTTCAAACTGAATATAATGAATATCTGTACTGTGATGTATATACTAATGATACGAATTGGAATTTCATTTATAGTTCATTTTCAATAATCCATGAACCACTTATTGATCATCTTAATAATTGTGCAAGGCAATTATTCAATATTATGTATTCACAAGGAAGTATAGGTACATATTAAATGAGATGAAATTAAACATCGGCAATTATTCAATATTATGAATTTACAAGGAAGTATAGGTACATATTGAATGAGATGAAATCAAACATCATGCATCAGTATTATGAGATGATTAGAAAACTCGCGACGATATTCTGCACGGTAAAAAAAATTTGTTACTGTGACAATATTCTGGTTAATATAGGCACAACCATATACACATTGTTGCTGTCACCATATCAAATGGTAATTATAACGATAATCTGGCTATAGTAACAATAAAAAATGGTTAGTGTCACAAGATATCTGGTTGTGCCTATACTAACCAGATAATTTTTTTCCGTGTGACTAACCATAGCTTTTTGTCTATAAATTGGCGATATTGTCAAGCCCTCAGTATACTTCACTTCACTCAATTTGTGGCCGTGTCTAATCATTATTCTGAATTCGCATAATTATTAGATTAACTCCAAAGTAATGATATTCCGGAAAATATTTCCTTCAAGAATCACTGAAAAGTGTTTTCTACAATGAATCATATTATGTTTTTTCTCTCAAATGCCATAGCAACTCTCTAAAGGCACATCACTCATCGATGTCAACAACGAGGTCAACAACAATAAGAATACCATCCATCATTCAGCAGAAATTGACAAATTGAAACTAGAACAGTAACACATAAAACGTCAGATTATAAAGTATCGAAATATATGGTCATTCGTAGGAAACTTAATTGACAGGAACTGTATACTGTAGGCATGCAATTTATTACAATGTGAAACATAAATACGTAATTTGTAGAAATGCATATAAACAAAACGTATAAGTCGTCATAATATATTCCATCAGAATAGGATTGAATATATAAAAAGCGTATTCGATCGAAACATCAATCTATCAGAACCGTATCCGGTATCCGATCCAAACAGTAATATATCAGAACCGTATTCCATCGCAACGGTAATACATCCATGATAACAAAAAGCCAACGTTGGCGGAAATCGCAAATCTCTATATCTTTAAAAATAAACGAGATATCCCGTAAGGATAACGAAAATGGGACAGCCTGTACATAATATAGAGTTGATTGCAGTATCGAACATTCAAATTCACTAGTGATAGTGGACACAAGTATGAGTGAGATTTCAGTTGTCTGTGATTAAGTAATCTTAATTGATATTCTATTGAAATTTCTGGAATGTATGGTGAATTCAATACGAGATTAGTGAAAATTTTATCTAGTATTAGATTTATTAGAGATAATGTGCCAGAAGTGTACATATAGATTTGAATGCAGTATCAGAGTGAATTTGTCAGAGTAATTCAACACTGAAAACATATTCTGCGTATCTAACTCGAAGCGTTATTTTAATCTATAATGCTCCGTTGAATTTCGTCCAGTTGAAATACAAATTTTGATCAAATAAATTCAGATTCAATACGATTCTGATGAGGTATGTCGTGACAAATTATATGCCGTCGTGGCAACGCTATTGAAAGTGCTCAAAGCAGTGTTGCCAGCAGATAATTCTGATTCAAACACGATACAGGTTTATGAATTGGTACGTATACGATATGAGGTCTGAATATAAGGATAATGTCTCTCAGGATAAGTTAGTTTATTAGAATACACAACCCATCCCTGGTCGATCCTAGCTCCACAGGATTTATTTATCCAGAATATCTCGGTGCCTCGTGTTCTGGAACCAAGTTGTGATGACCTTATATGGAAGGCCCAGGTCTCGCACCAGCTGAGCTTTGGTTTCCACATCGGGAAACGGGTTCTCGATGTAAATTTGTCTCAGAATCGCTCTCTGGCCGCTGGTGATGAATGTTCTGCTGCGAATGGAGGATCTAGCTCTGGCAGAAAGTGTCTCAGATCCAAGGGAACGAGTCTTGCGCAGTTTCGGGAAAGGTTTGAATTCGGTGTAGAAACCTAAAGCAAAATTTATTGAACATGGATAGGAAATCAATTAGGTTATGACTAAAGATGTTACTAATAGCTATTTCTCTCTTGAAGCCTACTCCTCATAATTGATAAACTTCTACTCATACTACTTACTACTAGACAACGCGCGATGTTAATTTCAATGGACAACAATGAGTTATAGAACCTAATGAAATCGAATGGTGTTACTCAGTTTGTGATGATTTAGAGTTACTTGTATATCAACCTAAGTCAGATGACACTTCAATTGTAGTCCAAGAGCCGGCTGAATATTTTGACCGCCACCTGCAGGATGAATAGAAGATGGTGTAGAAACTAGTATCAAATCCCATCTACTCTTTTTCGTTCTTGACCAACGGCCTACTTGACAAAAGGATTCTTTTCAATATCGCGGAATATTGGTCGCAATTTAGCCGTTAGATGGCGAAATCCGAACCAGAATTCAAGGTTGATAGAACTGGTGATAATTGAAATTCCCCAAAATTACAGTTTCGTACTTTCGAATTCAATCTTATTTGATTTGAGATTGCATTATGGATGTTATTATTCCTGGTGCAAGCGGTGTGTAAGTATCGTTTTTTGTTTTCTGCCATGAAAGAAATCTGTAAAAAGTGTCGCTATCTTGCGGACAACTGAAATTTAATATACATATATTATTGCTGTCAAGCGTTTTGGGAGAAACAAAACACTGACTGTGATTAAAGCATATTCAATCCACCTTGGCCACCTGATATAACGAACTAACATACGTCCCAAAGGCATGTGACAACATTGTATTTCATCGAACGGCACCTGTGCCTATCACGACTATCCTGAGCAAAATTATTAAAGAATGGCACTTGACTGTGCGGTAATTTTCACAAAATTTCGCGATTCCATAACGAGATAGGATTTATGCCATCCGATACCAATAATTGAATGGTAGATCAGAAAACCCTACCTGTGTCTCCCCTTGAGTTGAGTAAAATTCTCGTTACAATGATTTCACTAGGTACTGTCATCTAGAGTGCCTCGAACATCTCATTCCACGTCCATCAAAGAATGTGGAAAAACCTGTTGCCACGGATATTTCCGAATTGTCATAATTCTCAGATTTGAAACATCAGTTCTGTAGATTTAATTGGCGTCCCCGCAGAAATGTTTCCGAATATTCCATCGTGAAAACCCTTTGGCGTCCCACAAGGTTCTATCCTGGGACCACTTCTATTCAGACTTGACATTTTTAATTGTTGTTCGATATGTCTTGCGCGCACAACTGAAAACTCTATCCGAAAAAATAACAAGTACTGCTTCTTGGTCCCAAAAATCCGAATCAATAATGACGTCACTGAAGAAAAGAATTTTGGTCTTTTGCTAGATACCAACTTGAGGTACAGGAAACATTTGAATTATTTATGTAGCTCATTTATCTTCATCTTTCGATGTCTTTAGACAACTCCGATTTTTTTTGAGGTCTGAAATGAAACTGGAAGAATTTGTTTCATCTTTATATTTTTAATGCTCCACAGTTCATATGGTAGATCACATAACATACTCTGTTCCCATATTATGAGACCCTTTTGAAAAAAAAAACATGAGTTCAACTTGACTCTATAGTTATCCATCAGGAACTTTTTGATTATCAACATAATATCAGATCTATATATTTTTTGAATATCTTAAGTATAGTATGTATGCTACTGAAGTGACAGTATAATGTCTCTTCGCTAGCATACTCTTCTGTCACACAGCCTCCACAATTTTATTACGAAAAATAAACATCAAAGAACACAAACCTCAACATATCACATGATGGGAATGGTTCGAGATATTTAGACACTTCTCTGAATTCGATTCAGTATTCCGTCGATGTGCCACATGCTCAATGCTTGAAATGCAAATGTTTCAAATAAGATATCTTCTGTTTGGCAGTATACGGACATAGGGAACATTTAAATTGTGATTCAATGCCGCATTCCCATTTGAGATGCTTGTACAAAGAACTCTTGTGTTTATAGGAGTTTCCACAACGTGTACATGAATGAGCTGAAAAAAATCTTGATTCAGATCACACACAATAAAAGAATATACTACAAAATATAGCCAGAATGCTCATAGTGATTCGATCAATACCAATCGTAGATGAAAGAAGGAAAACAACTATTTTCCTAGCAAATACGTTACCACCGATACAACAAGGCCAGCAGACTCTGACGTACACAGCTCGTGACGTCACCAAGAGGGGCCAGTGTTTTATTTTATCGCTTGTCGACTAACGCGTCAGTTCGTGTTGATTCATCGGTGATTCACGTATGTTTTTGAAACGGTCCCGAATTATTTTGTTGTTTATTCATCAAAATAATTGGCGGAAAAATTACTGTTTTGTGAAATGTTTTGTGAAACATTTTGTGTTGTGATCGGCGAAAAAACAATGCCTTTCAAGTGTTGTGTTCCCTTTTGTCGGGGGGATTTAGTATGGGTGATTCAAAAGTTCATGCTTTTAGTTTCCCGTTGGACGAGGAGCTATCGAAAATGTGGGTATATGCAATTCACCGCGAGGATTTTACTCCATCTAAGTTCAGTAGTAAACAGAGCTTAATTAATAATGATGAATTAATAATAGAAGACAATTACTCTCTCATAAAAAGCATGATTAGAGGAAAAATAGAAAAGCTTTGATTGTGCAGTTAGTTTTGTATTCGTGTATGATAGTCAACAAAATCATCTCAGAATTCGAGGAAATTTTCTTGAATGTTCATAATAAACGGGCATTTTCAATTCTCATTCTCAAATTCCTTTCTGAAAACGGTCATTTGCCTCGTGGCAATGAAAGCAGAATTCATTCCAATGATCAAATTGCAACTATCATATCAACATGAACTACAAACACTCTACTTAAAAAGGTAAAACTGCATTTATCATGATATTTATCATGAAGATATTTGACTAAAAAGTTCCAAATTTCACATTCTTTTTCACCTGTCTTCTGGATGGCATTTAGAACAAATTTCCCTTCTTTTTTCATCACATTGGACGATTTATATATAATTCAACTATAAATATGATTTTCTTGAGATTAATCCATATTTAGTGAAAAGAAGGAAGAATATCATTCAAAATAATGGCGTGTGTAATGTCATTCGGAAGCAATCAATTGACATTTGACATCTCGTATTTTGATTGACTATTGATTAAATGGTCGTCATCTGGAATGCTTGTTCACTAAATATGAAAAACTCGCCATAAAAATCATATTTCCTGTTGAATTTTCTATATAAAAATGTGCCATCGAAGTACATCATGAGTTTATGCAGTGTCCAATGACAAAATAAGAGCAAGTAGCTTCAAATGCCCCCAACACAAGGGGAGAAAGAATGCGAAATTTCGAACTTTTTCTTGAAATATCTCAATAAATAGTGGTTTGTTCACATTTTCATTATAAAATTCGGTTTATCAGACAAAAATACGTGAGTACCGAAAAAAATTTTCAAAAAAAAAAACCATCGCATGATAAATGCAGTTTTACCCTTAAAAATTACGGTTTCAAGTGTAACGATCCACTTGGGTGAAAGATCCAACAACAGAAAATTGAAAACACTCACTGGTTATTTTTTCAGGCAATAGGAATTCTCCAAGATAAGTATAGGTAATTGTAACAAACGGCATGTCAATCAAAATAAAATACATTTTCCACAATTTTCTTTCGATCAATCTCACGATAAGTTTATGTTCTGCGGGCCCTGTATAAGTAGGTGTGAAGTTTACCTTCACCACAATTTTTGCCAATATATTTAATTCGAATGGGTTGCTGTAGGTGGATATTTGTGTTTTATCCTGGTTTTTGCTTTAAAACTTCGTTTTTCCATAATAGATTCGAATGGGGTGCGAAGAAGGGCTCAGTTGACGACTGGCATCCTTTTTCAACCGGAAGCCCTTCAAAAAACAGCAAAATCGGCTCAATGATGATCTAAAATTAGAATCGAAATACGCGGTCGCCTTATAGCGCTATAAGCGCTTGTCGTTTCGAGCCGCTGGTTAGGCCTCACTAAGTGATGTCACTCACGGAGCATGCAGGCCTTGTTGTATCGGTCGTAACGACTAATACCACGCAGAACATTGAATAACATCCTGTAATTGAACGCTAATGAAAATAACTTCGAGTTGTTGATTATTTATTAAAATTCCATTTTCCTACGAGCATATTAGCTATATTGTAGTTGAAATAACGCCAGTCGGCCACTACCATTTCTCCTTGAGATGTGAATTTCAGTTAGATTGTTTCTTTCCCTCCGCTCTAGATGTCTCTGTTTTCCTGTTGCTGTGGGGAATGTCCACATGGAAATTATCAAAGCTTGTCAATTATTAGTTAGGCCGAAAAGGGTTAGCAAACTTTATCAACTCAAATCTCAATTATCAACCACCAGAAGAAAACACCTTCATGTCGTTAAAATAAAAACCTATCGTTTTTATCAAATTATATATAGGTAGTATTGTAGGGACGTATATCTCTCATTTCAGTTTGTAAATACGTGTTTCTTCTATGGTTATTCACTGAAATTTTCATATCGATTTTTATGTTTTATAGAGTTCCTGATTAAGAGCCAATGAATACTCGACAGCTTGAACAGAAACAAGAGTACACAGTGTTTTACTGCATACCCAAAAGAATTCTCAGTTTCATCCTCAACTCAGAAAGTCGTCTATTCCTTTCCTCTACTCATTTATGTATATTATAATCTTTGGAAGGAGTCCATATGGTAACTCAAAGTAGAGTAAAAACTAAAAACCCAAAGTCATGGACCCATATGTGATTGATCTATTATCGTCAAATAAATGTTGTGGAGATGACTTTTGGGTTTCTTCATCTATGTATGTATATTATATTGTGAATGGGCTCGTAACACAAAATTTTTTTATTTCATAATTCGATAGAACTCACTCAAACTAGCTCACCACCGCAAACCGTTTCTTGCTGTGAGCTCCCTACGTTTTATATAAAAAAAATAATG